AAAATATTTGTATGTACAGATACAGACATAGATACATACATATGTATTTTAAATAATTGACTCCTTAGAAACTCAGCAATGGATCCGAAATATACTTTTTCTTCAGCTTGCAGTGCTGAGAACTAAAGGATATGTTAAACAACTAAGGAAGCGCTAAGTTCGGATGTAACCGAACATTTCTTGCTCTTGCAACTTGCAAGGATCAAAACCAGGGAAATACCTTCAGGTGTTCGCAAAACTTTATATTAAAAAATTTAGCGAAAAAGTTCAGTTTCATTGTTCGACGAAACTGTAAAGCGATTACAATCAAATCACATTAACATATTTTAAAGGTTATAAACTCACTTAGTCTTATTACCACATTTTACTTCCCGATTTTATCCATTTTAAACACAAAGATACACTCTTATTAGAAAAACACGCTTTCTCAATTCCATTAAAATAACTAGCATATTGGCCGGAATATGGCATGTGGTACCACATTTCCGGTATCTCGGGCTTGAATACTTATGGTCCGATTTTAACAATTTTTAGACCTGAGATGGCATACCTTAATATTCGTACGAATTTTTATCCCGGTATATTAGCTAGTGCTTGAATGATAGAATGATATGTGATGTCAACTAAATGTAGATTTTAACAAAACTCTTATATGCGGAGTGGGCGTGGCTATCATCCGATTTTACTAACTTTTATGCTGTTGCAAGAGGTGTCGTATTATCTATAAGCTTAGTTATGGTAATTTATGGGTTTTCGATTAATGGCGCTTTGTGGGTGTGGCTTTGTACTCAATTTATCACTTGTACGGACGGACAGATGGACAGACAGACACCAGGATTTCAACTCGTCTCATCATCCTGACTATTTATACATACATATGTATATACAAGTATATTACCCTACATCTAACTCGATTATTTTTAGGTGATACAAACAACCGTTAGGTGAACAAAACCTATATACTCTGTAGCATCATCTTACCAGAGTATAAAATGTTGAATGATCACTGTGAAACTAAAGCAAAGCTCCACTCGTATTCTTAATGGTTATTCCAATAAAGTGCGAGGTATCTTTATGAACAGTCGTCTTGTCGAATCCAGTGGCTGTCAAAAAACAAATTTCTCATTTATGGGAGGTGTGCCCCCTATCTTAAGAAAAAATTGATATATTCATATTTCAGTAGGTTAAACCTTTAAAAATAACACTACACCGTCTCCATACAATAGCCTACCAGTTTTCTATCTTTCTTTTAAAATTCCGCCATTTGTCAATTTTAGCTTTTTTTTACTGTACGGACAATGTCTTCTAGTAGAGTTCTTTTTAGGGTTTTATCCACGGTGAAGGCCGAAATTACTGCAGCAGTGCAAGGTTTTTATTAGCGCCGTTGGAAAAAGCGTGTAAACAAAAAAACACTTGATGCTTTAGTTTGTTTAGAATTCCCAAAAATACTTAAAGATGTGCGAGATATATAACATACTGAAGTGTTTGGTATATCTTAACTTCCTTTCACGAATTTACTAAAGTAGGATGGTAAAAGTAGAGATATGAACCTAATAGTAGAGGATCATTAATTTCGGGTAATGATTTCTACCTCAAGACTAAATCACAGCTTTATCGTTACTTTAGTCTATTTTTCGTTCCTAGGGTAGTTCTGAATTTTTTATCTGTTTTCTATATATGGATATATAAGCTTTCTTTTAATATTGAAAAATAATTTTAAAAAGAAATTTTAAAAATTTGAACTGAAAAAACTAAATATCCAATTTTGAATAATGTTGCCTTAATTGTAATATTAGAATTAAATTTTTAAAAATTCCAATTGACTTAAACCATTCATTGAACCAAATTTACAATTTCCCAATATTCCCACAAAAGTATTAATAACAAAATAATTGAAAACCAATTTGAGTTCGAAAACGTATTTTTCAACAAACCACTAACAATAAAATTTTAATAAACCCTCTGTTCCATAAAAACTAAATTTATATTGGCACATAAAACAATAAAAGAACACTCACAACAAGCAGATAATTCTTGCAAATCGTAATTACCAATTTCATCATTATTTACAATATTCGTTTAACCCAAGCTACTTTAATGTGCGCTTGCAAACATCAAATCGTAATTAAAAAAATATAAAATTGTGTAAAAAAAGATGCAATAAAAATATTACAGCATAACGCGCTTCTAAGTCTAGCTGCTGTTTGTCACACTGGCGCAGCCAACCCCCAGCGATAGCCTAATCACTTGCAGCGCAACAAAAACACAAGAACTACAACAACATAAAGCTTACATTTTCTGAACTGCAACTATGAATGGCGCATAAGTGCACACACACACGTACAAGGAATGCTACGGTAACTCACACAAATCTTCAGTTATGCTCATGCACACAGTCACAAACGACGAAAGAAAACTTTAAAGAGTTGCAGAAAACTTAAAAATATTTTCAATTATGTTTTAAAGAGTGTGTCTTTAAGAGCGAAAATAAGAGTACACAAATTAGTACCCTAAGAGCAAAGCTCCCAGTGTCGCCTTACAAAGATGTGCTTAAAGCGAAAAGCTCCGAAAGCTTTATCGCATATTCTATATGCCATTTATTTGTTCATTCATTTCGTTTCATATGGTTTCGAAAATATTTATGTGCGCGCCAAACGGCGTTAGAGGATGGAACGTCTTGTCTGTACAGTATATTTCAACTACAACAACAACAGCAAGAACAATATCAACACTATCCAATACAATACAATACAATATATTTGATGTGTGTTATAAATCCAAAGAAAGTTCATTGACATCTCGAATACTTGTCATTTCACAAATAAACACTAAACACACATTTATATGTAAATACTGCTATGCGCATACATGTGTATGTATGTACATACATACATATGTATAGGTATGTTGTATGCAAACATTAGGTTCCGTTCTGTGCGTGACAAGGTGCTGCTCGCTCGTTGATGAGGTGAAGTGAGTAATACACAGTATTATTGCATTGTCGAGCCGTCAGCGGCAAGACGCTTACGCTTAGGGGTGGCATAGGTCATAAAGAGGCAGAAAAGCAAATCAAAGTAAATAAAGCATATAAAAATGTTTAGAATATGTATGCCTGATAAAACGCTTCAATTCTGCTCGTAGCTTAGACACCCGGTTGCCCTTTTGACAGCGTTGTGTTGTTGTAGTTGCTGGTTTGATAATTCTTCGATTGTCTTGTCTTTGCTATAATGTCCATATTTATGCTTTAATTACTTGGTTTAAGCATAATAAAATTGCTCACGCATACAGTCGTACATATGCAATGTGTGCATTACTTACGTACAAGTATGTTGTTGCTGCTGTTGTATTCCTATTTTAAGCTGTCGCCGCACATTAGTGTTTGAAAAGTGTTTTTTTTTCATTATTTGTAATGTTTTGCGGCAAAAAGTTTTAAAGCTTTGACATAGTTTTTCATTGCGAAAACACAATAAAGAACATGCGAGCAGAGGAAGTAGTGTGGCTTCGGTTTTTGCTTTAATTACCTGCATCAACAAGTTAAGTGTCGTTTGGGCCACTTTACATTTGTTTTGAATTCGATCCATCGATTCTACTAAAGTATACAAATATTTTGTATACAAGTGTACGGTGAAAAGTTTTCGTAAGTCCAAATTAAATGTTTTCTATGGAGGTGTGCAACTTAGATTACTACTTTAATAATTTAATACCGTTATACAAATTCTTTTTAGGCTTGAAATAGCAAAGATCAGAATATAAGTTATACTTTGAGGTTTAAAATGTTCTCAAAAAAGTATGTCGAGTGTGTGTCTGTAATTATACAAAATTCAGAAAAATTATGTAATAAAATGAAATATTAGTAGTGGTGTTTTATGGTTAATTCTGCATTTACGGAAGAAGCTATGGTGGCCAATTGATTATTTTAACAGTGAAGACGGCGTACAAACTCTTCAAGAGTATTATATTCCAGTTGGCTGCCAATATTGCTTTCAATTTAATAAGTGTTGGGTTGCAAAATAATCTATGTAAAATTTCATAAAGTTATCTTGTCGAATAAAAAAGTATTCCAAATAAGAATTTGAGTTTGATCGATCAGTTTTTATGACAGCCTATAGTGGTCCCATATAGACGGTTCCAACAAATGAGCAGCTCCTGGGAAGAAAAGGGAATGTGTAAAATTCCATATTAATATCTCAAAAACTGAGAGACTAGTTCGCATATATACAGACGAACGGACAACTTTCATTGTGTTTTTCGTGAGTACCTGCCATCGACGGGCTAATCTCACGGTGCCCAAAAGCACAACGGATCAAAACAATGTGTTGATCAGCGCCCCAAATAACGCATTAAAAAGAAATAATGCAAGCTAGCGAGCATCATTTAGTTCCAGTTCTTCCAGTATTTAGGTTTAAACCACAGCCACTACGAATCTCCGCAAAGGGCCAAACCCAATGAGCAGATTGGACCAAAATCCAAAAGCTTTCTGCTCCACGTGGTATCAGATTTAAGCCTCCGGTAAGAGCTTGTTGCCGAAGTCACTGCCAGTTAAGCACCCATCAAATTCAATGACTGCTGACATTTGTCGCTTGAACTTCAAATGTCTTTTAGTTAGAGGAATCTCAATCAAAGTCTATAACATCAGTTTAAGCTGAGTATTATAGCACTATTTCTGCATTAATTTTGCTGATATTTCTTAGCAAACATAGTGCATATGAAGTTTAGTCGCCTCTTACGACAGGCATGCCTTATCGTGAGTAAAATCTAACCCCTAACCGCTGGGGGTTCTTATGAAAAATATTTGAAACACAATTGGGAAAACAATAATAACGAATATAAAATGTTTAAATATAATATATAAAAGTATTATTTGCTATTTCCCTTATCTCAAATATCAAGTAAAAACCGGACATATCCTTTATCAACTGTCAAACAGACTTTATAACATTTTTATAACTTTCAAATGATCATCATCTCATATTCGTTTTGTTTTTCTCTTTCCATTGCAGCTCAAATTGAAATAATTCCATGCAAAGTCTGTGGCGACAAGTCATCTGGCGTACATTATGGCGTTATAACATGTGAAGGTTGTAAAGGTTTTTTTCGCCGGTCACAAAGTTCTGTAGTGAATTATCAGTGTCCTCGCAATAAACAATGTGTTGTCGACCGTGTCAATCGCAATCGGTGTCAATACTGTAGACTGCAAAAGTGCCTACAATTGGGAATGAGTCGTGATGGTGAGTATGGCATGCCATATAAACAAAAACAAAAACAATTCTTATTAATACTTTTCTTTTATTCAATATTCAAATTAATTCGACGTTAATTTTGCAGCTGTAAAATTCGGTAGAATGTCGAAGAAACAGCGTGAGAAAGTGGAGGAAGAGGTGAAATTTCACAAGGCGCAGTTGCGAGCACAAAGTGACGCGGCGCCGGATAGCTCAGTTTTTGACACACAAACACCCTCGAGTAGTGATCAGCTGCACCATAATTATAATGGGTATGCTAACTCTTCAACTTATATAAATATATATATCTGCATAGGTTATACTCACGCTCTCACGCGTCTTTTTGCAGCTATGGCGGCTACTCAAGCAATGAAGTGAGCAGTCCCTACGCTTATGGCTACTCGACATCGGTAACACCGCAACAGACGATGGCCTATGATATATCTGCGGATTACGTCGACAGCACCACGTATGAGCCGCGTGGCACGATAATGGATCCGGACTTCGTCAGTCATGGTAGGAGACTAAAATCACAAAAACTCGTGCCAATGCGCATTCCCATAGACGAATCAGCATTTAATATTCGTATAACCACTTACCACACGCATTACCACTACTACTACTACTTACTACTACCACTACTACTACTACTACTCATCTTAGTCATCATTGAAGTTATCGTTAACAGTTATCCAGTTCAGTTGTCAAGTTCATGCCGTGAGCCCATCGCGTTTTCAAGTTGTACACTTTTTGTCCAATCTATTATTGTCGAATCAAATCTATTTTCGTTTTTTTGCTATAATTTCTTTTTGTCAGCGCCTAGGTTTTGAAGTGAGTGTGAGTGTGGGATGTAAGTAACTCCGGTGCTACATGCGTACATATGCATATGAGCATGTACCGCAGCCATGGACTGTAAATACAAACAATGCATTAATTTACTCTTTTGTTGTTGTTTTCAAGTTCAAGCTGATGATAAGTAAATGAAATTAGACTTAGTGGGTTGGTCGCGTCGTAGTGGGGCGCGTAGCTTCAAAATTCCAAAATTCATCCAAATTTATCTGCACACATTCATTTTCTAAAACACATTGGCATACAATCATTCATACTTAGTTGTGGGGTACGCACTTTACATTTCGGGAGGGGTGTCTCAAATATTTGTTATTGTAATGCCATATATTTATTTCGTTAAATCGCTGCATCAATAATTCGCTGTTGTCTACCAAAAATCAAATTAAAAAAAAAAAACAATAATCAAAAACAAAAACAAATATTCGAAACTCTGGTAAATATTTTGATTGTATATTCCTTGTTGCATTGCTTCTCCTCCCCCCACCAACCAGCTGATGGCGACATCAATGATGTTCTTATAAAAACCTTAGCCGAGGCACACGCCAACACAAGCACCAAACTCGAAGCCGTACATGATATGTTCCGGAAGTCTCAGGTAAAACCGATGATATTTGCACTCAATCGCCCGCCGAATTTGAACTCTAACTAATTCTTTATTGTTTTTGTTTTACTTTCATTTCGGTTATATGTGTTTAAAACTATGTTTTCGCTTGCGCTCATAAGGATATTTCGAGGATACTCTACTACAAGAATCTGGGCCAAGAGGAACTGTGGCTAGACTGCGCTGAAAAGCTAACACAAATGATACAAAACATAATCGAATTTGCAAAACTGATACCCGGATTTATGCGATTAAGTCAGGATGATCAGGTTAGTAACTAACTAAAAAAATTTTATAACATAGATTACGTAATTCGATAGACGTATACCGTTTAATCAAATTTGAGCCGGACTACTTCATTTAAACATTGTTAAAACCTTTTTTATGTTCGTGTGAAGTTTGACCTTCATATGTCGATTAGTTAAAAGTTTATCAATGCTTGACTCGTACCAAAGACTTGAAGCTTTTACAAAAACGTCGTCGAGTAGAGGTCGCAAAAGTGATGCTTGACAATGTAGTTGAGAACCCTACATTCATCAAAAGCATCAATGCTGTTGACGAGGTGTGGGTTTAAGACGTCGAAACTGCCCATTAAGAAGGAGATAATGAAAAATTAATTTTTTTTATTTTGGGCAGTCCAGGTCAAATTTGATCAGATATTATACTATCAAAAAATGCCACTAAATTAGCTGAGTGATGTGATATGATGTGATGTCGCATGTTGTAATGTTTGTAACATGCTTTAATTGATGATATTCAAAAGCTTGCCATATTTGAGCTGCATTTAACTGTTAAGATATGATATGAGTCAATCACATGTGATGTGATAGGGCGATGTGAATTTTTAATTAATAAAAATTCGAAGTAATCCCAATAATTACTTATAAATATGTATTGCAGTCTAAATTTCGTTAACCGCTGCAATAAATGTAAATATGTTTTCCATGTGATGCTGTAATGTTATGATATGATGCGGTAGTAAGATGTAGGCGGTTTAATGCTATATATTTAAAAACTGAATTTTATCAATTTAATGGCCCTATGTAACAGTAAATTTGTATAGCAAGCTGTTTCATCTGCTTTGGTCCGATGTGATGCGATGAGACAATGTGATTCCATAACATAATGCCTGATATTTAAAAAATCGACGCCAATGAAGCTTTTTGTAGCAATATATGAAATAACATAATGATTGATATGTTGTAATGATGTGATTTGAATAAAGCGATGTGATTTATTTCAAGTAAATCAATTCACTTGAGCACACATATATAAATGTGATGCGTTGTAATGATGAGAGCAATGTTGTGTTAAAAATAATATATATGATGTGATTTATTGAGATTATTTATAATTTGAAATAATTTTTCCACATTTTGCTCTATCCTTTCAGATTCTGCTGCTGAAAACTGGATCATTCGAACTGGCCATCGTGCGTATGTCGCGATTGCTCGATCTCTCACAGAATGCGGTACTCTATGGTGACGTGATGCTGCCGCAGGAAGCGTTCTACACATCCGATTCGGACGAAATGCGTCTGGTATCGCGAATCTTTCAAACGGCTAAATCAATAGCTGAACTGAAACTGACTGAAACGGAGTTGGCGCTGTATCAAAGTTTAGTGCTGCTCTGGCCAGGTAAAACAAATATTTATTTATATAACCATTAATTAACCAACATAAATGTTTACAGAACGAAATGGCGTGCGCGGTAATACAGAAATCCAGAGGCTTTTCAATTTAAGCATGAATGCAATAAGACAGGAGCTTGAAGCGAACCATGCGCCCTTAAAGGGCGATGTGACTGTTTTAGATACATTGTTAAACAATATACCGAATTTCCGGTAACAAAACTTTTCAATTGTCTATATACACAATTCACTTACTTATTTATGTGCTTTGCAGCGATATCTCCATAATGCACATGGAAGCACTGAGCAAATTTAAGCAACAACATCCGAACGTCGTCTTTCCGGCGTTATACAAAGAACTGTTCTCAATAGATTCGCCGCAGGATCTCACATAACATCAAGAAAACTATGTGGAGACTACGAACGCAATTGATGCACCGGACACCTTGGATGCGTTAACGTAGAAACAAAGAATTACCAGATGGCAGTTGGCAGTTGACGATGAAGAAGGAGATGCGGACGTGAAAGCGGTGACGGTGGCGGTGTCGGTGACAGTGATGGCAAGTAGTGCATGCAAGGCATGAAACTGATTGCTGCTGCAATAACTTTTCGTTAGAACGAGCTGTAACAACAAAAACAAACATTTACGAAACAAACAACAACACGAGCAATTTCATTTAAACGATAGCAAACTTGAAGCAGCCAGTCAGATGACCAACAAGCGTCCGAAGTTTTGTTTAACGGAACTTAAAGTGACAACAACAAACAATGTATTCTCAGTTTATTCACTGTTAAAAATAGCGTAACATAAACAAAAACATACTAAACAAGCAAAAGAAATAGTAAATCATAGTGCAGAATAAAAGAAACAAAAGGTTTATATAACTAATTAATTCAAGCCACACATAATAAGCAGTAACAAACAATAACAAAAAAAAAACAGAAAAACAAGAAAAAAATAAGCAAATATTAAGCAGCAAATTAAGTTTAAGGATATTTATACAGAATTTAAATAGTAACAGAAAATATATACATATATATATATACATAGACAAACCAAACCAGAAACAAGCCGAATGCACATACACACACACACACGAACGCATTAGCAAACAACACACCACAATCACACCTATAAAAATTTACATACAAAAGAAAAGAGAAGTAGTAAAAGATAGGAGCAAAGTAACACGCAATAACTACAAGATACCGTACATTATATCACATTGTTATAACAAAAAATAAAACTAAATATCAAATATTCAGAATCATTATAAGTGAAACGCGCAGCAGAAACACAGGAAAATTAAAGCAGCATTTAAGCCACAAAAATAGGCGAACATAAAGTAAGACAAATAAAAACAACGGTACATATGCCTACAGCGTACTAACAGTTATAGTCACACACACACATACCCACTCTCACCTTGAAACAAGAAGAAAATCTCGAAAAAATAAAATTTCAACTTCAAAAACTATAATACAAAAACGTTGCCAATCTAACGTAAACTCATTCAGCCCTTAACAAAAATTAAAACAAAAGTAAAATGAAAACTCTATATACTATGTAGTTGATGCCTAGCGCAATCGGCGAAACGCAAACAATTTATTTCGTTCAACTCGAACCAGCACAAATTTTTCAAAAAAAAAACAAAAAAAGAAGGAGACAAAAAATTATTAATTAAATTTAGAAGGTATATAACTTGCGAATATTATTGAAAAGACTTTTGCAAATCAACAACCGTACACATACCAAAACACAACACACACACATACATCACTAAAAGAAAACGAGTGCTTACGCCCAAAAGACTAGCGGTTGCAATGACTAAAGAATAAATAGTTGAAAAAGTTGAAATGTGGAAGATTTTCGAAACACAACTCGTGTGGGAAACATATTTTATAGCCCGACTGTAAGCACATTGCGAAAATAAGTCTAATCGCTGCCTGTTCAATGGCGTAAGCTATTTTTAGGCGTCATTTTAGTTGCAGCACTGCTAATTAACAGCGTTGCCTTAAATCAGAGAACGTATATGAATAAGAATAAGAAAAAAAATTAATTCATTTACATTCTCTGCTTAAACCGTTAACGCCGCTGACTGCTTTTGTATTTGTTATTGTTATTGTTATGTTTTAATCTTTTTCTATAAAACTTTTTTAACTAGTTAATATGGTTTATTAATTTGCTGTTTCCAAACCTTTTTCATAGGCTCAATCGTAAATGTTTATAACGGTCTGTTGGCCAGTGCTAATTGACACGAGCAGTTGCATTGCAGTGCTATGTTTTTTTTGTAATTTGTTGATTTGTGTTGTTTTTGTATAACTCCTTTCGAGAATACTGCTTTCATAAAGAAAATAAGTACGTAAAGAGATCCACCTGCATATATAGGAGATATAAGGCTTTTTACACATACATATAAGAAGCACTATTTGTTGTTTTGTAACGTATAACTGTTTGCTAAAGCTTTCAAAGCTTAGAGAATTTTTAAATATCTAAGTTTTCTTGCTGAGAATTATGCTATATTTTGCTGAAAAAACCGCTTCTTTGTTCCATTCCCACGACCATTTTCACAACAGTCGGATACACTATGTAAGCGGAACGAAGATCAAATATCAGATCAAGATCTTTCGAATTGACGGTATTTCATAAAATTATTTGGGAATGTTTATTGTATCTGAAAAACTGAAACAACATCCGACTCTCTTTATACTTCTACAATTAGTACTTTTTCGAGATTATCCAAGAAATAGATTCAAGATTATTGTTCATGAGAAGCGCACTTAGTGTGACAGCCTAAAAAAAGGCGAAAACTACTACAGTAAAATTGTTGAAGAAAAAAAATAACGCTCTCCACTTTTGCTGTGATTCTAGTTTTTCCCGTGAAAGATAAAACCAAGAATTCTTTACTAGAAGATATTGTCCGTACTTATGATCAACGGTCGAAAAAAATAAAAAATTCACAAAATGGGGCGTTTAAAAAAAATTTAATTTTACCCAATATTTTGGTCGTTTTTGACCTGGAAAAATTCGATTTGTGATCAGATCCAAATCAACCAGTCTGTTAGTTCATTATATGAAGAACTATGTACAGGACATGTAGAAAAAAATTTGTTAGTGGTCGGATTATTTCTTTTCGAGTAATTTCTCAATTGTAGTTTTGAGAAAATCGCGCTTAAATATAAACTGATAGAGCTGATTTAACTGAAGGCTGAAACTCAAAAAATATTTGAGATATGAATTTAAAATTTTAATATTTTATTGTTAAAGGTATAGGTTATCGAAATATGAAAAAATTCGATTTAATTTTTTCGATAAGAACTGCCGGAGCTTGAGAAATATTAAAATCATTGATTTTGAGTGCAAACAATAAGTTATATTTTTCTTAACAAACAACAAAACTACCAATGCTGTAGGTTGTGGCACTCACTACTTCTACCATCTCCTCCTTTTCTTACTAACAACAACAATGTGAGAGTTGTTTCTGCAAAACTGAAAACACCGGCATCGCCCAATTGTGTTCATAAGTATAGTTCACGTCTTTGTCTATCGAACGAGCAGAACGTATACATATATAGATATTCCGATTTGATATACAAAGTTTATTTTAATTTTGTAATACGTTTTATGAAAATTACAAAAAAGTAGCTGAGATATTTTACACCAGCCTATAGTGTTCAAAAAACTAGTGAAAAAAGGCATAAATTTGTATTCGCTGTTTTATACTCGTATTTTGTTAATGCATATACATATAAAGTGCGTATGTATGTGAAATATGTAAATTTTAAGCGTTCTACTTATATAGTTGTACAATTTTATTATGTTGTTGTTGTTTTAATTTTTACATTTATTTTAATTTAATTTTTTTTCAAATGCTGCACGTCAATGGTATTTATGGCAGCATTCAGTAATTTATATATGAAAATGAGATATACGATTTTACACCACATTTGTGTTCAGCCGGCGTAGAGCTTTGCAGAAGCACTTTTGCAGACACAATTTTTTTAATTTTGCTTTTGTTGAAAGTGTTTTAAAAATATATTTGCTTCGCCATGAGCCTTATCTATCGAACACGAAAGTAGTTTGCGGATTGTACTTATCGTATATAACTTTTTTTTTTTGTAATTATAATAATTTTTCTATTTGGGTGAGATCTCTTTGCATTACTAGCCGTTTGAACACTTTGAATAGTCCTAATCTGTTGAGTACGGCTTCATGTTTTTGCTTTAATCTGGCTTTATTGTTTTTTATCTGCTTGATTTTACATTTACAGCGATTTTTACGAGCTTTCACTTGTCAAGTTAGCTTTCATAATTGGGACAAGCTTTTGACACAAACGTTTTAAACGGTTTTTATGAGCTTTCACTTGTCAAGTTAGGTTAAGCTTTAAACACAAAAATAATTCTCCAATTTTTCAAAAAGCTTTCATTTGTCAAGTTAGCTTTCATAGTTGGGCAGACTTTTGGCACAAAAATAAGCTTAAAAACTTTGAAAAATAAGCTTTAAGTTTTTAAACTGCTTTCACTTGTTAACATTGCTTTCAAAGTTTGAACAAGTTTTTGACGCAAAAATTAGATTTAAATTTTTAAAAAGCTTTCAAGTGCGCCATCATAATTGTGACAAGCTGTTGACAATAAAATAAGCATTGAGTTTTTAGAAAGCTTTCACTTGTCAAGTTAGCTCTCATAGTTGGTATAAGCTTTTGAAATATATCAAAATAATTCTTAAATTTTACAAAAAAAGTTTTCACTTGTCAATTTAACTTTCATAGTTTAGACAAGCTTTTGGCACAAAATTAAGCTTAAAAACTTACTTATATTACAAAATGTTCTTATATTATTTAATGTTTCTTTCGATATAGTTTTGTGCTTTCTACACGCATACTAGTATGTGTAGCGATAACACTGTGATGAAAAGTCTAGACAAGAGCACTTTTAAAGCTGAGCCACTGCAGATTAGCTTTTGCGTTAAAAAATACGAGTTGGCAATTAACAAAAATGTTTAAAAAATTTTCCGTTATACATTTTCGTCGTACATTTCACACGTTTTTCAAACTGAAGTCTGATTTCATATTTAGGAGACTTGAAGGGACATCCACCAGTCACTTCAACAGCAGGATTCAACTACCATTAAGCCGCACTCGAACCACACACACAAACACACATACACAAACGCATATATTTATATGTACTTTTCAGTAGTCAAAAGCAAACAAAAAATCATAACCTCTCCTCACCATCATTACTACTACCAATAACAACAACCATAAGCAATTAGTGCAGTATCATAGACGAAGAAATACGAGAGAGTTGTAAGCAAAAGAAAATTATATATACATACATATATAAAGAAACCAACAAAAAAAACAACACTTGGAGGACGGTGATAATTAGTGTGTCTTAAAAAAAATTATACATAAATTTTTTTCTATTTTTTATCAATACATATTACATATTCTAATTACGATTATGATGACTTTAATTACGATTAATTTTTTGAGCCGATTCCGAGAAGCGTAAAACAAATTTAACTAAATTTTAAAAAATGAAATTCAAAAGTAAACTGATAAAATTAATGAAATTGCATGAAAGGAGCATTGAGAAAACAAAACAAAAACAAAATAAAATTTCGTTTTATGTTTTTGCCTTAAATTAGTTGAAAAAACAATGATATACTAAAATATAAATGCATTATATATATATAATTGAGAAAAAAGCGAATACACATACATAAATGCAATACGAGTACATATGTACATACAAGTATCACACAAGCATATATACACAGGATACATATATACAAGCGAAAAATGTGGAAAGTGGCAAAGAATTAGTAATATGCAGAAGAAATGAAAATGAAAATGAAATATTTACATACATGTGTATAAAAAATCTAACGTTATACATACATACATATAAATTATATTACTGTTAAAGGTAAACTGTAAGTTTTTATTGCAACTAGTGAAATGGTTAATTTTTTATTATTATTATATAACTATTATTATTATTAATATTATGATTATTATCAACATTATTATTAATTAAAATTAGTTAATATTTATACATATATATATCTATATGTATATATATACATATATATATACGCTAAAACGGTAAAATAAAAAGTATGTTATTTAATTAGCGGAACTACGGTACACATGTCGAAAATAATTGCATACATATTATGGTAAAAAGTAGTTAAAAATAATTACAAAAACAAAAAAAAACAGTAATAAAAAACAATTAACTGAATGCATGATTTGACTTTTTATTACCAGCAATGCAGTGAAAACGGTTAAGAAAAACAATAAAAAAAAAAATACCTTAACAACAAACAAAAACAATTATATAACGCATTTGTGTTTGATATATTCTTTTAGCTACAAATACATACATACTTACATACATAGTGCATACAACAGACTAAAATCTCTCATTTACCCAAAGCAAACCCAAACCATTAGCGCATTTCCTTTATGAAACAAAACAGCAAAAACAAAAAAACAAAAACTCAATTATTTATATGAAAATAATAAACATTTTTTTATTAAAAATACTACCAATAGCATTTAACTATTACAGCAATAATGCTAAAGTTGTCAAAGCAAAAAGCAAATGCAAAGCGTAAGAAACAAAAAGAAATAATGTTGATGTGTCGATACAGTGGGCCTGTATAAAATACATGTTATTTATATATATACATACATACATATACATATATGTCTATGAATGTGTTAGTATATAACATGCTATGTATGTATGTATATATATATATGTATATAGAAAAACAAATATAAAAACAATAAGGAAAACATATATATGACATATACATATATATATACATATATATATAATATACAATTTTGTTGGTCTTTGATATAATTGATAAATAATTGAAATAAAGTAAAAACAAAAGAAAAAATATATATATATATATGAATGATGAGAAATCGATGCATTAAAGCTAATTTTTAATTCATAACTTAAATATACAATTATAACTTAAGTAATAAGTGTGAGTGGAATGTTTACACCTCTTACATATGACATACACATATTAACACATATAAACAGTTATACATACATAGAAACATACGCAGCACACGTTCATTAATGAGTCCACACATACACATACACACACACACACACATACATAAATACAAACAAACATACACACACACACGCATACATACATACATGTACTACGTGCATTTGCATTCAGTTTCAACTAGATCAATTCATTTATGTTTGTAAATTGTTTTTTAATTTTTATTAGATAAATCGATTTATATTATACTCCATAGGCATAATAAACATTAACATAAAAGAAAATAAATCAATTCAATCTTAATAAATATATCTGAATTATAAAGAATGGGTGAAATATGGTCTTTTATTTTTAACTGTATGTTTATATATTAATGGATATTTTGTATAGCAATCGTGCCACATTAAGCTATATGCTGATAGTTTTCTGCAGCACTTTAACATTTAGTTTAATAGCTGGTTGTATAAATTTAACGGTAACATTTCGATCAGTTTTAAGTAAGATTTGAACATTCATCATTTTAAATCTAAAATTTCATATTTATAACTTACATAATCTAAATAAATATATTGTTGCGTTTTAATGCGTCATCCTTCGCATCAGCCAATACTTACCTTCACAGCGGTCTTCTATAATTGTTTCTATACGTTAACGACAACTTTTGGCGATCTTGCCGATATATACATACATATATATTTTCAATATGAGCAATCATTTGAAGAAGTTTGATAATAACATCTAATCAGGTTTGCTCCGAACTGATCCATTTAAACTGCGCACACATACCGAATCGATAAAATGTTTCATCAGAGAGATAGCAGAGAATCTCAACGTCTCTTATGGATCGATTCAACGACCAGTTCGACTTGATTAATGTTTTTGGTATGAAACGTGTCAATGCTAGACTCGTACAAAAAGACATGAATCTTTTACAAAAACGACGTCGAATGGAGGTCGTAAAAGAGATGCTTCACAACGTAGCTGAGGACCCAACATTCATAAATCACATCATTAGTGGTGACGAGTCGTGGATTTGTGAATGTGACATCGAAACTGTCCAACTATCTAGCGAATGGCACTCCATAAATGAGCCGAAACCGAAAAAACTAAATTCGTTGAGGTCACTGAAATGTAGGTTAATGGGGTCAAAAATTATACAATGGTATGTACCTTTTGCCTATATTACATACATATATCACAATTCCAAAGCGTCTCATTGGAGAGCGACCAGTTTTCTGATTTTTTAGAGTTTCCTCTATTATATTATATAATGCTTCTTCTATCTCATTATGTTAAATCGATGACTTTCGCACACATCTTCCTTCCTTTCTTCGATGTCATCGTCGCAGAGATGCATGGGAGTCTGATATGTATAAGCTTTCCACGATGATGACATATAAGTTTGATCGAAAAATACACGACTGAAATAACAAGTAAACGTGGTGATGCACATATTTTTACTAGGTTACATACTATAATTAATGATGTTTTCAAGAAGCTCAATTTCGAGCTTTGAAGACATATTTTCATTTTGGACGACAACTTCGAAAACGGAGAGATTACTTTTTAACCACGACTCAATCTCTCGAAAAACTAAAGAATATAAAGAACTGTCTCCGCTAATCCGAATCACATAGCAATTCAAGCTTTCTTATGGACATATATTTCGTTTACGAAAACACAATTAAACAGCTCTGTGAGTCCCACAGCAATTCATAAAAGGTGCTCGTATAAACGAGGATTTCATCTACAGCGCGTTATCAGCAGTAAAGTATAGGACTAAAACAGAGACGCTAGCAGAAGCAGAGCATCAAAGCACTTCGCACATTCTAGTGCAATGAAGGCACTCATAACTTCCGTGGGACTCATCTGCTTTTTGAGCCTATTACACCACTTTCACGTCGTTAATGCAACCTCAAGTGTGACGGCTGCACTGAGCCCGGAAAAAAATGCAGTTTGCTTTACAAAACGGACAACCTCTCTCCGAGTTGAATCGACATAAGCGCTTTCGGGTTTTCAGACGTTTCGTGTACGGCACATTGCCTACACGCGTGGCAGTCACTGTAATAAAGATGCTGTTTGCGAATTCTTCTAACTGGTAGAAAAGTTAGAAAATAAACGATTTTTTAATTATAATTCAACTACTTTAAGTTAGCGATGAATTAAGAATGATTTCTGAATAAATTTGTACATATTTTTATATATAGAAAAATTAAAGCGATACTGTAAATCTCTATTTTGTAACTATTTGGATCTTGAAGAGCGCAGTTATAAATACCAATCACCATTTTTACTAGAAAACTCGGATAAAAATTTTAAAAACAATTTTCTGAATAAAATTGACTCAATCACGAGGAAATTACAAATTGTTATATCATCTAAAGAATGTTGTTTCCAATATAACGAAATCCAGTCAAAACCCGACTCAAACATATCTGTGACGCAATTAGACTACGTGTTATATATTTTTAATAAATTTAATCTTATCAGCTACTTGCTCCAAATGTTGCACATCGCCGCAATTAAGACCAATTACCTCTTCTCATTACCCCCTTCTTTATACTTTCTTGTTGTTTGCCAAATCATTTATATACCCACTAATAATGATCCAAAGTAAGTATACTTTTTGTAAGTTCTCCGAAATTTGGTACCTCAAACAAACCTCTGAAAATAGTTCAAAAAAAATTACTAATGACCAAGAAGCCTTGCTCTTGACTGCTTTCAGCTGCAGACAAAGTTTTTGTGAATTACTTTCACTTCACTTAGCCTTTTTAGGCAGAAACATTGATAAACTTTAAATTGCACCCCTTCCCTTCGATGGACAGTAAAAATAATGTAAAGTTTATCAACTATGAATTGAACAAAAACAGAAAAGGAAAAGCGATGAGATGGTAGCACATAAATTAAATAATGGCTGGGATCATTAGCAAAAAGTTTTATTTGGAGCAACAACGTCGAGGAATACATTCATATAAAGAGAGTATTATAGCATGCAAAAGATATGGCTATATACTATATATGCATAGATCGGTACAAAAAACATCAATTTTATTTTATAATTCACACAGATATCACTTTAAACAATATTCTGGTACGGTGGGCTAGCTATAAAGCCGATTTGTTTGGGTCCTCAATAAATTAATATTAGATATCATGCTACAGATATATACCATCCGATCAAATTTGACACGGACTGACACTTCCGCGTATTTTGATACACATTTTTACTAAACCCTTCAAAATAGGTTTCTAAGCCAATACAAGCAAACTAACGCTTAATCCATTTTCATACACTTGTTCTAAGCCTTAAGCCTCAGTCCCTTAAGCGAATTTTGATTTTTTCTGCTCACTTTTGGAGGGCCTTGCGCTAGATTGTTGGACAGTTTCGTCATCAATTCATAAACCCACGTCTCGTCACCAATAATGCAAGACGATGTTGTTATGCCGGTTTTTGAGAGCAGCAGCGACACAGTCCAGGCTTTGAATAGACTTGACAAGAGCTGTTCTCATTGTTATGTACGTAGATGTTGGTATAATTTAATTTGTAGTATATCAAAAGCACTTAATATACAATATAATATTTTTTTTTTTAATATTGGTTATAGGAGAACGTTAGGCTTCTTCCGGTTGTCTAAATCTCATAGATAGGCTTTTAGTGACGGTACAATTTGGTTGATCTGAAGTTATACCTAACCACTCTGCTTTCAGGCAATTAGATAGAGGTAGCACAGTTTATTACAGGCAAGCATATCAACAGACTTTAGGGTGGTGTTTTTTACTACTTATTAAAAAATATTCAGTTAATAGAAGTTATGAGTTCTCAAAAAATTTTGGAAGTGTGGTATAATAAATTATGGATATTTTCGATTTCTTTTAAGTAAATCGAGTTCTTTGGAGTACTCAGTAATGATATTTTTATGTATAATACTCGCAAACTAATATAGATCCTTATGTGAATCAAGGCATGACAGCCTTCGATACAACATTATTATAAGTAATATATAATATTAACATATATATTAACATATTGCTATAATTTCATTAATATTTTTAACTTTTTCTATTGCTCATTTGTGCCACTTATGCTACATGATCATTAATATATGGATATTAATAACAGTATAAAAACGCAAAATACAAGCCAGACCTCAATCTCCAAAGCATATTAATAATTCAAAATCATATTACTCATATTAAAGAACTGGTTTTATGCCACACATTGCCTAGTTATGGCTTCGAGCAATTTATTTTCTGCACTATCAATAACCAGATACCAATAAAATCCTTTCACACACGCAAACTTATGCTTTAATTGATTGCATGAGCGATAAAGTGGGGTACGGATCATCTGCACCATAAAAAGTCAGCTTGATATTTCTCCCAGTTTGAGTTTATTTTTTAATGATGGCAGTAAGCCACAAGCGAACGCAGCAATAAAAAATGCGTACTCGTAAAAACGCATGCGAAGCAGGAGTAAACCGTCGGCAGATGGATGGCACTAAGCCAAGGCGTGTCACCGTGGCGCCAACAACCCCCACCCAACGACGTTTGCTGAGCGCCAATGGCGGGAGTAGCAAAATGCCAACGGTCAAAGCAACATCCGTTCGAATAAAATATGCTGAATATTTGCAAAAGCTGGAAATGTAAAACAGTAACCAGTAAATAAACACAACAACTCTTGCATCAAAAAAATAAACGATGTAATGGAAACAATAACGGCTGTTATACGAGAAAATTCCGTACACAAGCGCACTAACAAAAGGATTTATGAAACCAAATTCGATATTTTCGATTTATCTTCTTTGGTCCTCGACTTCACATGTAGTAAAATTTATGGCCAGGCAGCGAACTGGTCGACTGACTGATTGACTGACTGACTGCGGCCATGTCGCATGTTTTGCATCTTTGGTATAATATTTGATTTGGTTTTTTGGACGATGTATAATATGCATAACTTTAATAAACCGCCATTTCTAAATAAGTCACACGCTTTTGCGAATCACAATAAACAGCAAACTAGTTTCGGATTGAAAACGGTAATCAGCATTGAGCAGCTGCAGCCGCATTTAGGCGCAATGACGCTGGTGCATGTGTGTGTATGTATTGTATGCAGATTGCATTGCCGCATTTTTGTCATTTACCGATTATAGATTTTACAACGCTGCCCCATCCCCTCTTCGCATCGTTGTGTTGTTGTTGTTTAACGGTAATGTTGTGATTGCATTATTTTCCCAAGCTGAGTGATTATTTCTAGTGTTATGTAAGGCCACAAATGGCACTGGTGAAGCGGCAAACCAGTACCGGTGTCGTAAGAGTCGCAAGTGTCGTGATTGTCTTGCTTCTCATCGTTTCTTGGTTTCTTGTTTGGTCCGTCGGTGCACCTTTTGGTCACTGCATTAACGATTTATAAACCATTTCCGGTATGTCATACATCTCGCAGCCGGATGATGCAGGATGTGCTGTCTTGCTTTTTGTTTGTATATTGTGTTTTTGGTTTTTGTTGTTTCGATGCATGTGTCACAAGGTGGCGCACGTGAGGAAGTCGCTAAAGCATATATAGACCAAATACGCTGAATTTATCGCGACTAATAGTGACAGCGGAATTGCAGTGAGATAACTTCATTTAGTTTTTGCTCGCTTCAAAAATTATATTTGAAACGTGATTTAATGCAGTATTTATTTGTGTTTACGTCTTATTCGAAAGGCAATCTGTTTTCCGGTTTTTATGAGGGTGTCTCTTAGCTTTAAAAGTTTAATAACTGTAAAAATATAGTAGAGCCTCGAATAAATGAAAAAAAAAGTATTAGTAAAACGGCAAACAAATATTTCAGAGTAAAAGCCATGGATAGCTGAAACCCATTATTGGGGAAATTTGAACGTTAAAACAATGTTACATTGATTTACTACCTATATATTAGTGGCTTGTGATTTGTAGGCGTGTGATAAAAATGGCTCAAATCAAATAAAACTTCGCGAAAAATATTTAATAATACTGAAAAAAAAATTTTTCGTGTTATATTTGCATTCGTGCATTTTTTGCCAACCTTCCCGTGCTCGGCTTTGAATTGATAACTACAAACTGTGATCGGTTGTTTGCACAAAAACTCGGCGTTCAACAACGTCTTAGAAAGAATCAAACATGTAAGAAAAAGCTAAGTTCAGATTATACCAAACATTTTATACTCCCGAAATATGCAAGGATCAAAGTTTTATTACTATATTTTTCTTCGTGTTCACTATATTTATACTAAAACCAATATAATTAGCTCAAATTAGAAGTGTACGATATGAACTCAACTACATAGTATATATGGAGACTATGGTATTTCGTGGACCGAAAATTGATCCATTATTATTCGATCACTAAATTTTGCTAAAATATCTTACATACTGACCGATATATGCGGTATAAAGCCAACGGGAAGTTTTACATTCAAAAATTAGGTATATGGGGACTACGGCTAGTATTGACCCACTTTTATTCATCATTATTATTGTTTTTATGATATATACATTTGTACTTGATTTGTGTTCTATAAAGTGAAAGAGTCAGATGGAATTTGAAAGTGTGTATGGAATTTTAAAAGTGTGGTTGTGTAGAACCTATAAAAGCATAATAATGAATACAACTTTTTATTATAATTAAAAATGTGTACAAGCTTTTATGCTTTCACTTACATTGGTTATTAAAATAATTACAACTCTTTCCATCGACATATTACTATTTTTAATGTATGTAAAATTTTTTGACTAAACACACATTCATTTTTATTTCCACTTTCTGTTAAATGTTTCACATGGTATTGAAGTATTTTTGTGGCAGTATTTTAACGCCAAAATAAAGTAGAGCTCCAAACTTCTATATCGTTACAAATTCGTAGAAAAGATTGATACGCAAACGGAACCTCTCCATACAAATGAAAATACCGGTAATAAATACTTCAAACATTCGATATATTTCACCTCAAAATACTTCATCAACTTTTGGACGACAATAATACCAAAAATATGTCGCTGAAAGTGGATTGAAAATGCCACTTCCTAAATATGCCACCCCCAGTTCGAGCCAGTGGCCCACTCATTATGCTATGGACATATCAAGTTTATCGCAAAATAAAGCTTATGACCATATACTGTATGTATAACCATAAATTACATATGTATACAAATTATGCCATATATATATGTATGTATGTACATAGTGTAGATAGTAGCACAACTATTTTACATGCAGTTGCTCACCTGCTTTCAAAAGTTGTGTGATTTTTTGATGAACAGGAAGAAAACAACCAACTCTTCCCGAAGTGTAAAGCGCAGAAAGCGCGCAATTAATGTTATTATGATTATTGCATGTGTGTGCATGTGCTTTGTACATATAAGCTCTTATAATTGTTGAATCGATTTACTTCATGAAAAATGTCCGTTAATTTATCAAATCTATATTAGAGAACGAGTTTTAAAAAGAGCCGCACTAATGACTGTATTGAACCTGAAAATATTATCTAACTAATGTCAAAACGCCATTTTTGCACTCTTCAATCATTTTGCATATGTGTCTGATAATATAGATGTGTGCATGTCAACATAGTAATTTCCAGGAAACTATATACAGATGAGTTAGAGAAAAAGATTAAATTCTTTTATTATTTCTTTTAAATAATTAAATTTTAAATAATTAAAAGTATAATTTGAGTAAAAATATAAATAAAAAATTAAATAAAAACTTCTCTACATTTATATGGAGAGTTTCTTTTGTTTTTTACTTTTCTTCAATTCTCATAATAAAAATTTTTGAACTAGGTATATTTAATTTGCATTTGGCACTAGAAAATATAAAACTCTTTATAATTATATGATCTGAATTGCAAAAAAAGAAAACAATAATTCAAATGTTAATCTAATTATTTTTATATCCTCAACAGGGTATATTAAGTTCGCCACGAAGTTTGCAACACCCAGAAGGAAACGTCGTAGACCCTCTCAAATATAATATATATATATAAATGATCAGCATGATGAGCTGAGTATGTCCGTCTGTATATACGCGAACTAGTCCCTCAGTTTTTAAGCTAACAATCTGAAATGACATTTTGCACCTGCCTTTTTCTCACTAAGAAGCTGCTCATTTGTCGGAACGGCCGTTATCGGACCACTATAGCATATAGCTGCCATACAAACTGAACAATCGGAATCAAGTGCTTGTATAGAAAACTTTTTTATTTGACGAGTTATATTCACGACATTAACTCGCACTCAAGTTCTTGTAAGAAGCCTTTGTACTTGTGAAGGGTATTATAGCAATCGAAGGTAACGTTTTTTCTTGTTTTAATACATTATTTGAAACACTGCTTTCATGTCAGTAACTGTACTCATCATCCCAGCTATGAAACCTTTTTTTTTTGTTTTTGATAAAAATAATTTTCATTCACTAAGAAATGTAGAAATCTTAGTTTAGGTATCAAAGAATTTTCATTAAATAAAAAAGTCCGGTAAACATATACATAAACATTTTTGTATACCTGTTTTTGAACACTAAAGTCATAAGAGCAATAACAATCAAAATATCAGGAGTATTGAATTTCTATTGAATAACGGAACTGAAATCCACACAAATTAATTAACTCTTTCCCAACTTCTACCAAGTCAATATTAATATTGCACTTGTTGAGAAAAAGTTTCACGGTGCAGTGACGTCGAAACAAGCCCCCAGCAGAAAATTAGGTAATCTGGTAGACAGCATTTGCGATTACTTGTCCGACAGCTCGAACATAAACACCTGCGCCCAAACGCTTGCAACGTCACATAAACACACAAATAAACATACAGTAGCACTTGTTGCTTGTATTTGTGGCAGAGACAAAAGTGAAAATGAAAACATTTCGACAACTTTTCTCTGCTGCGCGTAAACTTTAAGATTTTCATATTTAAAGCGACAAGCAGCTACAACCTTGTGGCAATAACGTTTGAGCCGCGTTGCAAGTAACAATACAGTATTGCATCAACAAGAAAATCGAAGCTGCTACACAAAAACACCGTAATCACTGTCTGCTTTAGCCAAATCGCCAACCGCCAGCCGCCAAAGCGGACAATCAACACCGAATAGGCAAGCATTGTCACGCGCCTGACAGCGTGCAACATATCAATCAGTTAGACAATCAGTACGAGAAGGCAAAGGCAAGCAAGTTCAGTGGCTTAATACACGCCTTTTCAATTCGCAATTCGTCACATTTGTTCCGGCGTTTATTCGCCTATCTAGTTGCTGTTATCAAAGTTGTTGTTATTGTTTTAGTGTTTGCTATTGTTGTAGTCATCGCCGGTGCCGGCATCATGTTGCTGCATTCAAACGGTGTAAGTGTTGCCTTGTTGCCTTTGTTGTTATTGTGTGAACTAATTTGTTGTTATTGTGCGACAAACTTGTTGCAAATGAAAGTGTGTGTATGTGAGTATGCGTCACAGCAAGCAATCAACTAAAACGCCACGGGTGTAATGATCGAACAATAAGAAAGAAGAAAAGATAGCAAAACAATAGAAAATCATAACAGCAATCAGCAGCGTAAATTACGGGACACTAATTCGTGACGTTGATGCCGACTGCAGATCGGAAAGTGTAAAGAAAAACAACTTGCGAACATACTTAGTGCTTGTTGTTGTTATCTAGCTGTAATAGCTTGTGCACACACACACACTCACATGCAGTATGTGGAAGTGCAAGATAATTGAGTAAGAAAAGAAAAAATGCGAACACAATGCGCATGCAAAATCGCAATTTCAGGCATTGTTGACCACGATCTCGAAAAAAGTGCAAATGGTGCAAACAGTGCAAATGTGATTGCCCGCAGCAATTGCCTGGAAAATATGATCGGCGGAAGTGATTCAATGGTTTTGAATTATATAAACAGATGTGTGCCTGACGGTGCTATTATTATTGTTTGTTGTTAAGTGATGCAATTCGAATGTACCTATACTTAGTTGCAAACGGATTTGAACAAAAGTAAATTGGGCTGATAACATAACTTCGCAAGAGTTTAAAGATAAATATATATTCTTATCAAAATTTGATTTTAACTTCGATTCATTATATTGATTGATATTTTTTCTGCTAAAATACATGTCAGCTCCAAAATAGACATCGGTTTCAGTAATTTCTTTCCAACGTGTATTATCTTAAGGTCTGTGAACAGATAAAAATCACTGTTCATGAGCAAATACAATATTTCAAATATTCATAAGAAGAGATATATGCAGCATTTCCTTTTGATCTCTTTAGAGTGCTAGCAGCTTTTTCAATTAATTTATTTTTACCGCCATCAAAATCATTATACAAGGAACTGGGTAAATTAAAATTGCCGCGAAGTTTAAAACTCTCAGAAGGAATTGTCGGACACCATATAAAATAGCTGAGCTAACTTGATTTAGCCATGCCCTTATGTCGGCCCGTTTGTCTATATATACGCGAACTAGACCTTCAGTTTTTGAGATATTAATCTGAAATTTTGCACACGTCCTTTTGTTGCCAAGAAACCGCTCATTTGTCGGAACCGTCGATATCGGACCACTTTACCATACAGCTTCCATCCAAAATGAGCAATCAAAATCAAAATAAAACCTTTCGTTTTGACAAGATATCTTCACTAAATGTGGTTCGGTGCAGACGACGTTAATGTTTTTTCTAGTTTTATTTAAATTTTGTGTTTATTTTCTTTGGCTTAATTATGTGCACTCCCGTACAGGGTAAATAAAATGCCAATTTAGGAACTCAATGAAAAAAATTCTGATAATCTTATCTTTAAGGATCTAAATGAAAATTCTTTATATTAGCCAACCGAATTCTGAATACACCATTACAAATATCGAAATTTTAAGAAAACAGCAGCGAAACTTGTTTTCTATCTGAATATGTATGTATAGAAATTCACAAAAGTTTCTCAAAACAACTTTTATAGACTTGCATAGCCATAGAACTAGTTTAATAAAGAACTGTTAAAAAGAACTGACTGCATTAAAAATTTAAAGTTAAAAAAATATGGATTGAACAACAATAGGCATTATGTGAATTCACAATAGTAATATATTTAATTTTTTATCCTTCATTGAAATCGATATACCCCGAAATTGCTTAAAATGTTTTTTTCGCATGTACATTTGCGTCTGATGTTGCAAACTATTAAAACTTAAAAAAATTAAACGAAATTTAATTTGCAATTTCTATATTAACTGGTATAATCATATTTAAATTAAAATAAAGTAATAACTCAATTGCAAATCAGTTTTTTTGGCATATACTCAATTGACAATTTTTAAAAATATTGATTTATCATAATTGAATAGTATATGACTGAAAATAATTAAATTAATAAAAACGTATTTTACTCATTAAAGAATGCAGTCAATAAAAACTGCCGTAAGTTGTGGCGTATACGCAACATATTCACTCTGGCGTATGTGTAACATAATAAATATTGTCTGTGCTTCTGTACGAGAATAGGTATAGCTTACTGAATACCATAAATGTTGACATACCAATTTTATATTTTAGAACAACTTTAATAAAATACTCTGATGTAATATTTAAACTAATTATATTTATTTTGAATTTTATGATTTTGCTCCAAAAATATGTCCATTTTTATCTCTGGAACTCTTTGATTTGCTAATTAAATTTGAACGAAGTTGACGAGATGTTCTCGAATTCTTTTTAATATTAAGATTTGAGAAATTTTCTTGTATACTTTAGTACCGTACCATAAAAGATTAGGTAAACAAGTAAATTCTTGTAGTGTAGTTATTTTAATTTGTTGGCTATTTAATGATATAACCCATAAAAACGTAATCATGAAAATTGTTACATATAGGAACCAATTTTGAAAACTATAATATGTATTTAGGCATTGTTATTAATTTTAAATCATATAAATTTACTACTATGGAACTCTAAAATATGCAAACCACTGAAAACCCAATTATATAATTACGCCTCTTCAGCAGAAATTTAAATTATGCAAACGATAAAATATTAAGTAGACATAAAGCTGAAAAGCAGAAAGGAAAATGAAATTTGCCTGGTATTTGCAAGATTTATGACATATTTGCAAAGGATACACTTAAGGAATCTGCATGGCACAAAAGCTGACAGCTGCACAAAAGCAAAAGGCAATGCAAGCCAATGCAAAGACGCCAGCATAAATTGCTGTCACATAAACATTAATATTATGTGTGGATATGTATGTGTTATGCATATCAAATCAAGTATCTTGTTATGTTTGAGAAAGTTGATGAAAAGTATACCTCTTACTAAACACACACACACACATACAGATGCACTGGTCGTTTTAAATCCACAACACAATTCACAATTGTTGACATAATGACATATTTTCCAATCCCATTTAATTTTATTCTCACACATTTCATTTCATTTTACTCCCGCATAAGTTTCTATAAATTTTACATTTTATTTTACTTTCTTTATTTACATATTTGCATAAATATGTTTGGCTTGTGTGTTTGTGTGCAGTTGCTTTCACTTTTCGTCATCATTGTGATGTTGTTTGCGCTCTCTGACGGATATCCCTCCAAGGAGAAATTAAAGTAAGTGTATTAGCTGAAATGTAAGTATTTGTATGTATTAGGTAAGTAGGTGAAATTTTCATAAATATAAATATATGTTTATAAACACATTTATAATAGTAATAATAACTATCCCGATAGTAAATGGTATAAGAAAGGTTAATGAAGAAATAGGTCCATAAGGAACCTAGTCCATTATACGAACTTTGTGTTCCGTTGGCAAAGGGGTTACCATTGAAAATTAATATACTTTTGCATGGAGTTTAAAAATTATTTTATTTTCACATTTATTCCTGCCTTATCTAAAATCATGTTCCAGTATTTACTGGCCATACTGGAATAAATCTTTAAAGGGCACACCTAGTGTGTCAGCATAAAAAAACGACGATTTTTGGGACTTGAAAAAAACCTACTATATCAATTGTTTTAAATTTTTAAGTGTATATTTAGAAATATTTTAAGTATACAGAGTAAGATTTTTAAAGATAAAATAAAATAATTTCAAGTTAGACGCGATCTCTGACAGCGCTAACAAAACCGAATCCTCCACTGCGGCAATGATTCTGGCCTCGTTCGTGTGTGAAACCTAAAACAGAAATCTCTACTAAAAGATACTGGTCGTGCAATGACAAACAACTATGGTCGAAAAAGTCAAAAATTCACAAAAATTTTTTTCAAATGTTTGAATTTTACCTAAAATTTTAGTCATTTTTGAACCGCCAAAATTCTATTTTTTATCAAATAAAAAAAACTGGTAGGTCATTGAATGGAGAACTGCATACAAAACATGAAGAAACTTGTTAAAAAATAAACTGATAAAGCTTATTGAACTGAGCGGTTACATTTTATAAGGTTATAATTCAAAAACTATTTGAGAGGTGAATTTAAAAATTGTTTATGAAAGATTGGTAGGTAGAGTGTCTGTTAGACGACGCACCTACGCCTGTGATATTTTGAAAGGTAGAACCTATCGAAATATGAAAAAACTATATATTTTTAATTGCACATTAAAGGCAAAAATAATGTAATGGAAACTCAAGAGCAGGCTATCTCTCAAGTGTGCCTAGGAATAACCAACTTTATGGAGCGAAAATAGGAAAAAAATCTTTAAACATAAATTTTATTTCTTTTTTCAAATGTTTCCTTTAGAAAAAAATGCATGTCAAGTCAATACAATGGAGGTTTCTAACTACAAGTATTATACATTTATGAAGCAGAAGTATGCTATTCTATGTATAACAACTAAAGATATTATCTATAATTCTATCTTTCTGGGAACCTTATCGTGTAACCCGAAATATTATAAAATTGACTTCAAATATTCGAAATTATCAATAATTCAGAGTTACCGAATATTCAAAGCAACTTTTGTAAAAATTTCAAAAAGAAACGAGAACAATTTAATAATCACTGATTAATCAACCAACAGACGGCGTAAATATGGTAGGCTCTCTCCTACTTAAACAACGCCCAGAGATCTGCCGAATGATAGAAGCAGTGTGCAGAATACAAATAACAATTCAGTTTTAATTCGACTTTGAATTGCCCGTCGGGAATTTGTTATTTTTAATGTGCTAGACATTCTAATTATAAAGATTGTTTTAGCTACATACATAACATACACTTCTATATATACCAATAGATTTATGTGTATACTATGCAATATTTATTTACCGCCATAGCCAAGTTGTAAAATGTAAATATTTACCGTCAAGCTGACGTTTTTTAGATTATTTTCTCACTGCCTTAACAACTCTCCTTTCCGATTCTATTTTCTCTCTATAGGATTCGCATACATGTGCCCGTGAAACATCACACACACGTACACACCAAAACCGTCATAAAGAAAGTGCCGCTGCCAATACCGGTGCCGGTAAAAGAACACGAACCCGTCAAAGAGCATCATCACCATCACTATGAGAAAGAGGCGGAGGAAGACTTTGAAGGTTACGATTATCCGAAGAGAAAGCGACAAGTACGGCATCCTTTCGTTTGAGAATGAAGTGAGACGAATGGAGAAGGTACAAAGAATGACAACAAATCAAAAGGAGACAAGGAGGACACGCTTGAGGAGAAGGCTTACGTTGAAGATAGCTTGGAAGAAATATATACAGCAAAAAGGCAGTGGTCAAATGTGGTCCACAAATAAGCATTGAATTCCAAAACAAATAACTTGTACTAATATGTTGAATTTTTTATACACTGACATTCGAAATCTAAATTGTAAATTTGTTAACATTCGCATATGCTACGGACAGTCTGCCGCAACACATACTCACACACACACCCGCACAATGTACCCAAATGTTTGCATTAATCTGCGGATAATGTGCGCAGATTTATTTAGTCGTGATAAGATTTAAATTATAGTTTAGAGTAGACAGTCAAGGCGAAAGCGCACACTAAGTCCAAAGGACGAAGAAAGTATAACCAAAGCTGTGAATGGATGAGCGAGACACGACGGGTGAAACGGTGAAAAGGCGAGCGCACATAGATTTATCTTCATATCCGTTGTAATTTCGCCCGGATAGACATCTATGTAATATATAATTCGCACACGTCTTCACACACACACGCACACACATAGCATAGTTATTATTTGCTTAGTATATAACTTAGCTTGTAGACTTGTGTTATGGCAAAAGTTCGTAAATATATGCATATTAAAAATTTTATCAGTATATGTGTGTATGTGCATCTGTAGTGTTCAAAGTGGAATTTCTGTTGTTTAGATTGAAAAAGCGAGATTAAATTAATTTTCTTTGGGTTCAATTACGTTATTGTATTCCCTCTTTGCATCTATTTAGCTTAGTGTCTTTTTATTTTCTTTTTTATTCGCTCACTAGTTTTTTATTACATAAACAAATGTTAGAGCACAAGAAAACAACTTGTTCTACTAAGGTGATTTGGAAATTTCACATTTCGACGCATAAAAAATGTGTGAAAATAAAAGTATACGCAGCGCATGATAAGTACAAATGTACGTGGATTTTATTGTAGCAATGAACACTTTAGAATAAATATCTATTATCTGCAATTAGGGTACGCCAACTTTTTCGAAATTATTAGTTTTAAACTTCTAAATTTAGAAAAAGCTAGAAACAATTCATGGAAAAGTTAAATCATTAAGTTAATGTATAAAATTACAAAATGTCACGTTTTAGCACGTTTTCTGTCAGAACTTTGGAAAAGGTTGCCATATGTTTGAAATTTTTAGAACTAACTAAATCAAAAATAAGAAAGTCATCTTACCTTCGTATGGACCACCATAATGTACACAAATGCCACAATTTAAGTGTTACATTGTAATTTCATATTACAAATTTTGTTGTAAACTTCCAAGCTAACAAAGTATTCTTAAAAGATCCCATCAACGTATAAGACACGTGTTTTAGCTGTTTCATTTTCTTATCTGTACATTAAGTCATTCCTCGTTTACGATCTCATTTACGATCGTTCGAGTGATACTTTAAACGCCCATAAAATAATTGCACAATAAATCAGATAAATGTTAAATGCTCTATGTCATATGTTCTTTTAACGAGTACTTTATTGCAACATGTAATTGCATATTACAGTTATAAATTTTATACTAGCACCTTTACAAGAAGATTTAGAGAGGCATCAGATAAATGCTTATAAGGCAACGAAGTAACGTCGAATAAAATTGAAAATATTTGTAGTGTTATATTGCATGCCACCTGAGTTAAAAGCAAGACTGCCACTTAGTAACTCCTTAATTCATCGCTCAATGCATCATTTAGGTATACATATACATATCTAGATATAAAAGGTGTAGTAAACTCTTATTCTCGTAGAAACTCTCGTCCTTGTTGAGAAAAACCTGGGACAGTCGATTTTCGTAAGCTTCTCTTGAGTCGAATCATTCGCCAAATACAGAAACTGGAAGTAATCACTTGGCTCGAGTTCCGGACTATAAGGTGGATGCATAAGAACCTTCCAGCTAAGCTCCCGGAGCTTCTGGCGAGCCACTAACTCTGTATGTGGCCTGGAAGCATTGTTCATCTCCCAATGGCCAAAGCTGGCCACTTCTGGGCGACTGTTTCTTTCATACGGTCCAATTGTTGACTGTACAGGTCCGAAGTAAGAGTAGTTGATTCCCTGCCAATCTCACAAAACACGCAGCAAACCCTTTTTGACAAGCCAATCCTGGCTTGGCCACCGTTTGTGTCGGTTCACCGCGTTTTAACCACAACGGCTTTCACTTGACGTTGACATAAGGGAGCCACTTTTCACCACCAGTAACCATCCACTTCAGAAATTGATAAATTTTTTTCGATTCAACAGTGATTCGCAGATGGAAGTCGTTGACGGCTGCTCCAGCAATATTGTATCGAGAAATGAAATAACTGTCAGAGAAATGTTTTTAATACAAAATTTTATCCTTTAAACGCCATATAGCGTAATCCGAACGTCATTATATAGAATACTGAAGCCATTTCTTGGAAAATTAATGGATTTCGTTTTACTTGAGCTACATATATATCCAATAATATGTATGTATGTATATATATATATATGTATACATATTCATCAACATGGTTGCTAGTTTAGAACCATCTAGAATTTTGTCATAAATAGCTTATGGTTGGGGTAGAGTTTTGTATAATTTCATTCAACTATTGTCAAAGTATATATATTTTTGACTTATAAAAGCTTCCGAGGTAGCTCTTAAAGCGTCTAATATTTTGTTTCGCCTAATATTTTGTTATTTTTACTGTTAATAATTTCTTCGATAGGGTCAAATCTATGTACGATTATACTTTATATGAATGCCTAACCGAATACTTTCTAAGCTTTTCTTTAAACGTCTTAATTTATACACACATTTACAAAAATTAGTGATATATTCCTTATTTTGACAAGTTGCCACTTTATTTTAAATTATGTTTAAATTAAAGATCTGATTGATTCCTCGGAAGTATTAAGAAATACTATTTTTTGTTATATAGGTACTTCTAAATTGTTTTTTCGATCCATGGCAACTCTATTCCAAAATATGTCTAAATTAGAGACTCAAACCCTACAAAGTCCCTGCTTCGTTTTAAAATTTGAATTTCGTTTTACTGGAAACACTCTACAACCTAACCTAACTTGTTTCGAAAGCACCCTTTTTGAAAGAGTCTAGATATACTTGTATTGTTATTACCACAGCTACTTTATGCAGGCTGAATTTTTCCGGCAGTACTCGTGTACGCTTCTAAATATCCGTTTTAATAGTATTCTTTTGTCGATAAATACGCTTGTACCATGTATTGGCCGAGTCTATTGAATTTTCTCCAATAATCTGCTACAAGCACTAATTTAGGCATTTTATACACAGGAAAGTTAACAAACAAAGCAAAGTGTAGCGGTACATAATTTATATAAACATACGAGTATGTACTATATATACACTTACATATTTACAATTTATATTTGAAACTGAAATATATACAAATACAAATATAAATAGAAACATTTAAGCCAAGTCACCGCATTTGCACCGGAAATGTGTGCCGTTTCCGACGTCATGGAAAGTATCGTATTTTCTGTGTTTGTTATTGTACTTTAAAAGGCTTTCATAATATTTCTCCCAAATATACGATTGTGCTTATTGAATAACTTTTCAAACACATAACTCATTAAGCGGCGACCTTCAGCGAAATTCATTGAGTAACTTTTTATGTACTTTTGCATATAAATACGTATGTATGTTTGTGTATAGCAGATACCGTAAAGACAAGTATACGCTAGACATAGAAGCGCTGTTTTCACTTTGTCATAGAATAAGGATATGCATGTTTGTGTGTATTAAATATGGCATTAGCAAAATAAAAGTTGTGTTATGATAATGCCTTGGCAATAAGAAGCAAATGAAACAAAAGGAAACTTTGAATATAAATGATGGTATTCGCTCTATGCAGGATAGGGAGGTATTCTCTGAGGTATCTACTATACATGGCAAGGTCGACTTAAAAAAATAAGCTGAAAGCCTGCACGTCATTTTAAAGAGCGCTCAAAAGTAGATATTTGCATTAGGGGACCCGTTATTTTCTAAGTAGACTTTTTTTTAAAGTTTTTCATAGTTGTAGTTTTACTTGTTTAATGTAAAATGTCAGGAAATCCCGTGTTAAATATATGGCAGAAGTAAAATTATTAGGCACGGTTTATATTGAAAATAAAGGTATTGTTTACGTTGGATCCTGTTTCTGTTTTAGGGCAAAAACTGAAACTTCAGGAGACATTTGCAAACAACCAATCAAATTTAGAAATAATGAACAGCCTCATATACATACATATATACATATTAAGAGAAGACAATTTACTGTAGTAGTAGTTCTACGCTATGAAAAGCGATATTTTTTCAAATCGTTGGAACCGAGATTTGAATTTTTCTATCTGATAATACGTAAAAAATATAAAACTGTAAGGCGGAGGATCTTCCCGTTACAATTAAGTGCTCATACTTTTGTAAACTATCTTAAAGATGTCTAAGAACCAATTTTTCAGAGTACGAAGCGAAAAAAAATTTCGATATTTTTACCCACCCTAATACATATATTTTATAAATAAATGTCGAAAACATATTATTTCGAACATGAATAATAAAATTATTATATCAAGCATATATCCTGAAACTTGAATGGAAATTTATGCATGCATATTCTCATAAAGATGTAAGAAATTGAAGTGCCATGGTCCAGATATTAAACAAATAAAAAAAAATTGTATTTAAAATTAAAATAAAATGAATGAAATAAAAAAATGTTTAGTTTAAATTAAAATGAAAGAAATTTAGATTTTCAATCTTAAATCTGAAAACACGAAAGACTTCTCAGTATTAATCTCTTTTTGCATAAATATACAAACACAAAAACTGAACAATATGAACATAAATATTATATATGTATGGTATATGCTAAGAAGAATTCTATTTACTCTAAGTGAACATTTGAAATTCAACACGAAATGCGGGTAATTGCCACCCGGCGGCGCGGTCATCACTCGCTTAATGCGTTCTTCAAATAAAGAATTTGTAAAAACAACCACACGAGCAACATTATCGAGAGGAAAAGTGCAAAAAAAAACGTAAAGGAATGCGCACACACATGTGTTTGAAAATACCGTTATTTTCGCACAAGAATGTCTGAAATATGAAATACCAAACTATGAGTGTTGCATGAGCACAGGCGTTCGTCTGTGTGTGTAAAACGCCATGTAATCGAATGTGTCTGCATACAACAAGAACTCTGACACATTTGACCGAAATGACGGAGATCACGTGCTGTGTGTAAACAGCGTTAACGCGCGCACATTCAGCAAACTTCCCGACAACCAACACATTCCAAAAACCAAATAACAAATCAACAAGCCAGCGAGCGCACATAAACATAAAACCAACGAAATGCACCGTCACTAGCGTGGCGTAGACGCAGGATACGAGCAACGTGTGAGTAAATTGTTGAAGCTGAGAAAGCTGGCCAAAAGTTAGTGAGTGCGCGCCAACGGGCAAATGGGTAAACGAAGCCATGGAACTAGAAACGGATTAAAGAGCGGTTTTTTCTTAATTGACTTTTCGTATTCAAGAGGTCAATATACTCGTACAACTAAAAATATCATTCTCAAGAGCGACTTAACTTTAATTTAAAGGTAAATTTTATACAAAACAAAACCTCACAATTTTCTGATGCCCAAAAATTAAAAATTATTAATATATAAATTTAATATCGTTTGACCAGTCATTTTATTTAATTAATAAATAAAAAATGTGCATTTACAGAATATCATGCATAATAATTGGTGATTTATTTTGAAAAATGTTGGCGGTGATAAAGATTTTTCTATTTAAACTTTTCTGTAATCCAAAAACCAAAATAATTAATTATTATTACAGATTGTTAGAGGTGAATGCAGGTTTTGAAATTCAGTAATTAAATTAATGTAATTTTTAAGATACCCCATACATTACACACTTCCATCTCATCTCCTAGCAACACGAACAAACATCGGGTATAAATCTCATAGACTAGCATAAACAAAAAGAGTTAGTTTATCAAGCGGTTATATCTCGCTCCTCTTTTGAATTCGCTTCATGACTTTTTTGTAGTAAATTTTTATATAGCAGAGCAAAAATCGACTACAGTGACTAGAGAAGTGCCGAATCGAAGACTTTTGTTATTTATTTGCAGTTTCCTTATTATAAATTTGTTCTTAATTCCATCAAGCCACTTAAGCTCTGATGAAAATTGCAAAAATCTAATTTAGATCCTTTCATTCTTTATGCATATGTACCCATACAATTATGCATGACTTGATATATTTGAAGAGGAGATGAATGACTGTCACATTGGCTACTCATTTTAGCCCCCCTACCTGTCACTTCTACTTACCATACGTAACACTCAACACATTCACTTAATCCTTTTGCGCACTAAATGCACACGTTCATATGTGTGTATATATATATGTATATGTATATGTACTTTTGTTAGTGCCCATTATTCTTAAGGTCCTTGCTGTTCACTTCATTAGTTGATTTAGTGTGTTTGGTGTCATATTTAGTACATTCTCTTTACTTGTATATTGTATCGTATATTCGAAACCGCACATACATATCTACAAATTCTTATATGTCGGTTGTGTAGAGAATTTATAGCCCCTGTGGTGCTCACGTCACCACCTGTTATTAAAAAATTAAATTTAACGGCCGAGTATGGGGAGTAAACCCAACGAGCATTTGCGCTTGAGTTCAATTTATTAATTCGCAGTCGAATTTTTAGTCTTGTAATATAATATCATTTTTAAATGTTGACCTTACCCATAATCCACACACTGCTTGCTTAGTCATTAATTACTGAGCCTGCATCGACCCTTTAATATATTCTACTGATCATATTATTAATAAGAAAAAATTCTTCATCTAAAGCCTAAAAAGGCAGTTTTTAAGAATTTAAAACAAAAAGTTCTGTAGAAATTGTTTTCAAATTTTAAGGGATATTTATATATATTCCAAGAAGAGTAAAATTTTTGAGAAAATTAATTAAATATTTTTCGCTTATATTTATTTAACTGAGCGGCTACAAGGAGAAAGCCTGAAGAGAATAACGCTAATTTGTTTTATAAATTTTCTGTATTTGTAGAATAGTGAAAATATTTCATTGACTTGTTTGAAAATTTTTTATAAAATATATTTTTCAATATATACTTATGTACATATTATTTACTCATCCAAATTAATAATACTATGAAACATGGGGCGATTATGTATGTGGTTTTGTACAGTTGATACCTAATGTTTGGTCTTGCCCTCTTGATACATAATTAAGGCTGGGATTTAATTAACTCTTGCGGTAAACACTTTGGTTCCACGTATACACATGACACCCCTTATGAGTTCCAGCATAAATTT